CACATCGATTGATCTGGAAACGCAATATGTGGAAGAAGCTCGCCGGCGGTGCTGGAAGGCTATGGATACGGAGAAATTCCTGGAATTTGTGTCAGCAAATCTGCTGGGCAAGAGGGGGATAAGAGAAGGTGCCACGATACCGCGACAGATCGATGAAGCTACCGAGTCTCTTCTCAGCGTCATACAGCAAGGTGTGCAGGTCTCAACGCCATGGGCCCGTCCGTCAGTCTGGGCACACCCCGGCTGGACCCCCGAGTGCACAGAGGCAATCAACACCACCCGAAGGTTATTCCGACGCTGGAGAGACTCCAAAGACGACCAAGATCACCAGGAATACAGAACAGCACGCAACAAGAAGGGCAAAGTGATCGGCAGGGCGCTCCGACAGGGTTTTCGCACCTGGATCAAAGATACCATCAAGGACGGCCCACGCGGTCTTTGGAGAGTGTCAAAATGGGCCAGGAACCGTGAAGCCTCGGGTGGAGTCATACCAGCACTTAAGAAGATGGATGACCAGCTGGCAGAATCGAACGAAGAGAAAGCGCAGGTTCTGCGAGAGGCTTTCTTCCCACGACCCCCGCAAGCTGACCTCGACGATATTGCCAGGGCCAAAGTGAAGCAGCAGTTACAATTCCCACCAATATCTGAACAAGAAGTGACCGACGTGATTCGTCGAGCGCCACCTGATAAAGCCCCCGGGCCTGATGAGATCCCAAACAGAGTGTGGAAGCTGGCACTCGCCTCCTCAGACTTCATTCGAATTCTCACCTCAATCTTTGACGCCTGTGTACGCACCGGCTACAACCCGCGCCACTTCCAGCAATCGATTACGGTAGCCCTTCGCAAAGGGGGTCCCCGGGACTTCCGCAAGCCGAAATCCTACCGACCAATCGCCCTCATGAATACCCTCGGAAAGCTGCTAGAAGCCGTGATAGCCAGCCGAATCTCGTGGGCGGTCGAAGAGTACCACCTATTGCCAAATACACATCTCGGGGGCCGGAAGGGTATCTCTGTCGACCACGCAATCCAGTTGATCCTTGACCGTATCCACCGGGCCTGGGGTGACGGCAAAAAGGTAAGTATGCTACTGCTGGACGTCTCCGGAGCGTACGACAACGTCTCCCATCAGCGACTTTTACATAATATGCGAATGATGGGACTCGGGCACTTCGTGCCATGGGTTCGATCATTTCTCACGGACAGATCCACACGGATCAAGCTTCCGGGCTTCACCAGCGAACTCTTCGCTACCGAGACGGGCATTCCCCAGGGTTCCCCGATCTCCCCAATCCTCTTCTTACTATTCAACACCCCCCTCGTCCGAGGATGCTACGTCCGCGGGCCAGATGGTGCTGAGTGCCGTGGATACGGATGGGTCGACGACGTGGCCATGATTGTGGAGTCTAGGACATATGCAAGGAACGTGGAGCTTCTTCAACAAGCCCTCACGAAAGCAGACACCTGGGCACGACGACATGCAGCGAGATTCGCACCGGACAAATTCGAACTCATCCATTTCACCAACCCTCGACAAACACCAGACGCACTACCTATGCCTACGGCAGCAACAGACCGACAGCATACACCGGACATCTACGATATCATCGTGGAAGACCCCGGCGATGACCAGATGCCAGTTCAGACCTCCAATCAAACAATCCAACCATCAAATTGCGCGAAATACCTTGGTATCTGGCTCGACAAGACCCTACAGTTCAACACACACCGTACAAAGCTCACCGCTAAGGCGAATGGTAGCCTAGAAGCCCTCCGGGGTATAACGGGCTCCACGTGGGGTGCCCCGCTCACAGCTATGCGTATGGTCTACCAAGCGGTGGTAGTACCGCAGATGCTCTATGGCGTAGCGGCGTGGTATTCTCCAGCTGCACGGACGACTACAAGACCTGACGACAACCGAATCATCAATATCTTCACCAACATCCAACGGAGGGCGGCTATCCTCATCGCCGGCGCCTTTAAAAGCATGTCTGCAGCTGCTCTAAACGTGGAGCTCTACCTAGTGCCAATCCGGCTACAAATGCAACAAATCATCGAGGAAACAGCCATACGAATCCAAACAGGGGCCAAATGGGCTCAACCCGAATGCCTTACGCTCACACGCAGACCTCAAGATGCCAAGCTTGGAGGTCTCTCGCCAATGGAAGCCTTCCAAAAGAAGGGTCAGGTCCTCGAACGTAAACCGGGGACGTTGTGGGAATCAAGGACAGCCTTTGTCCTTGCGCCGTGGGAGCCAAGGGTACGGTGCATTATTGAAGATGCAGAAGTAGCGATAAAGTCGCACGATGAAATCCTGACCGACGCTCTTTATGCGAAAATCGACGCGGTTATCGCGGAGGCGGAACCTCGCTTGGATTCTATTTCAAACCCTCCTACTGTGTTCTTCACGGACGGGAGTGGATATGAAGGCATGATTGGGGCTTCCGCGGTAGCCCCACAAGCGGAGCCGCTGGTTGCTGAACGCCAGCACCTTGGTAATTCGAATCAATCAACAGTATACATTGCCGAGCTCTCTGGGATAGAGATGGCCATCCGTCATTTCAGTAAATCAAACCCGCAACCCCCTCGCGAACTGGTGATCTTCGCAGACTCGCAGGCCGCGATTCAAGCCGTGCAAAACCCCAAGCGCCCATCCGGCCAATATGTCCTCCATGCAATTTATACCCACATCCGTGCCCTCACGCCCGGTCTTTCGGTTACGATTCGATGGATCCCCGCACATGTGGGCGTGAGTGGCAACGAGCTGGCGGATGCTGCGGCGAAGGAGGCAGCGAAAGGGGGTGCGGGTGTGAGTGCGGGGTCGGAAATAGGTTCTTCCGGGTCTGGAATAAGCCCTAAGCTGCGACTTGCAACCACCGCCAAACGGCAGGTGCGAGCCCGGATCCGTGCAGAGTGGGCAAAACAGTGAGCGAAGGAGAAAACGGGCAGACCGAACCATAGACTGGTCGAGGTGCCGCACAAGAAGGTTCTAAAGCTATTCGAGGGCTTATCGAAGCCGTACACTTCGATTCTGGTGCAGATGCGGTCGATGAGGATCGGCCTGCGTCACTTCCTGTATAAGATCAACGAGGCGGAATCGGACAGGTGCAGCTGCGAGGAGGGCTCTCAGACGCCAAGGCATGTCCTCCTGCAGTGTCCGTTGTACGTGGATCTAAGGAAGACATTCGTGGAAAAGGTCAAGAGGACGGATCTACAGAACCCGATGGATTATGAGGCTATCATGTCTCACCCGCAGGCGACTCGCTACGTCGCCGAATTCATGCTATCAACTGGTCTCCTCGGGCAGTTTCGCCAATGCGACACTGAGCCGGAAGACACTGAACCAACACACCGGGAATGACCGGAACGGGCAGGGGGTGAAGACGCTGTGTATCCAACAATGAAGTGAACGGCAACTGAGATGTCGACCACGACGACAGCGAAAATACAACACAACACAATCGATCGAAGCGGGGTGTGCTACTGCCAGCGGGGCAGAAGGGAGTTGACAACTGCAGAAGGAGATTTACAGGAGGATATCGGGGATATCAGGATATATATTGCATATTGCATGGCGACAGCGACGTTCTTTTAGCGGGTTTTTACTTTGTTTGGCATTATTTCGGCATTATTTCGGCTTCATTTACACCTGTTTGGGTAGCGCGATACCTATTTCCTTTGTGCATAGTCATTCTCTACTGCATGTGGGATTTACCGGCGTTAGGCATATTCTGGCTTCGGACGGACGAAGCGCCTGCATTGCCACTGCGGTCCTAGCTAGGCAGCATCAGGTTAATAGAATATCATCATCATCATCATCATCATCACTGCCGAAGATAGGATGTTGAACACTTGGAGAAGCACCTTCAAGCCAGCCTACTAACCCACTTACTAACCCACGAGAAACTCGCTGCGATACTGCGTTCTGGAAATGTTATATGTTATAAGGTTTTATGTATGGGCTTTCAGGAGACACAGCATACACAGATGGACATGTACAGTAGATCAGTGATAGTTGCCCTTTCGGCTCAGCCGCCGGGCGTTAATGAATTGTTTGTTTGTTTGTTTGTACACCACGGAAGAGGGTTCGAATGATTTTTTCTGCCCAATGGTAGCACCCGGTTATTAAGGGCAACATGTGCACGGTGGACAACGATCTTCGATGCGCTGTTAAGGCAGAAACTGGCAAGCTACCAATGGAGATGCCTCGCGCAGTTGTAAGAGGCAGGATGGAACGCAACGCTTGGGCGATTGTGACGCAAAGGACTTTGTCTTCCGAAGCGGGGGCGATAGTCGCTTCGTTCACTTATCGCCTGACCGTAGGAGCTGGCGCTGTCGCTGGTTCAGCACAAAGTGAATGAACGATATGCCCGCGATCTGCTGTTGCAAGACAGCCGCATGTCTCTTCAGATGAATCACTGATTTTCCCCTTGAATATCTACTACGATCAAACAGGAAATCAAGCTGGAGCATAAATCTGTGGATGACTATGAAAAAGCTTGAATCTTGAATCCCAGCTGCTCATGATCAATCGGGTTTTCTCCCCGTTGGATTCTTTTCCTCCCCTTGGGAAACCATCTTTCCCCGATGAGTCTAAGGGTCCTTGTCCAAGTGCCAGATCACATCTCATTGTTGGGTTTACTTAGAAGGAACAGGGCATAGATCGAGAACTGATTTTGTGTCCAAAGTTCGTCGCAGCTTCTACATTCTAGATCACCCTGCTATCCACCCAGCCATTCACTTGCCCAATGATGTTCCGACGATTACAGCAATGACATTGGCAACTAGGCGTTGACACGGGCCAGAAAGAAATAAACTAGTTTTGGGAGGAAGCTTTTCGCTATCAGCTATATACATCATTATAAGATCCTTTTTCCTTAGAGCCTTGATTTCAAGTTTATTGGTCTTCGCTTAAGACTGCACATCTCTAGTAAATGAGGGAGAAAGGCCAATTGATGACTCTCTCAGAGACTTGACGCCCTTCTCGATTCATCTAAAACTCTCTATTTTGAGGTTTCCATAACGGGCCCGACGTAAATATGCCTGGCATAAGCGAAGTAGTACACAACAGCAAGAATACTGCTACCCCCGATGCCAACGACGCTCCAGTTCATACTTTCCACGCTTGGATGCACTTCGGAAGGCCAAAAGCTGAAAAAGACCACAATAAAAATATAAAGAATTGCAAAAACATTGATAAAGGTGCCCCATATGCCGGGGCAATGGAAAGTTCCCCAGGCAAGCCTCGCACCGGGCACATTCACAAGATCGTCCTCACTCTCATTGTGTCGAGAAATGTTACCCTGAGTGCGGCGGTAGAGTAGCAAGATACATACCATGAGGTAAGATAGATATAACCCAGACACTGCCATGGAAACGACGTCGTCTAGAGCAACAGATGAGCCAATATTGATAAGGGCCAGAGCCCCACTGATAATCACTGTGAGTATGATAGAGTTGATTGGCAACCCTCGAGATGAAGAAACCTTGAAAGTCAAAGGTCAGTTAATACAAGACACTCGTCAAGTCTCCCACCTTACCTGATTCCAAAAATGCCATCCTGGAACCCCTTTATCGCGGGAAAAAGACCATATTTGGCGAGACGCTGCAGCCAGTAGACCCATAAGCGAGCAGCAGTAAAAAACCAAGACGATAGAACACATCAAAAGCGAAACAGCCAGCGAGTTAGTTGCTTCATAGAATATCTCCATGAACGGGTACCCAGTACGGGAGTTTAACGCGGCTTCAAGATTTCCAGCGCAAAAGAGCAACGCAAGAAGCATGCCGAAACCAAGACAGCCATTCACTAAAACGCTTAGCATTAGGGCGCGAGGAATGACACGTGGCGCATTTGCAACCTCTTCAGACATCTTTCCTAATTTTAGCAAAGATCACAGGGCCTTTAATAATTGAAAACTTACATGCACGGCAGCATCTCCTCCGGCGAAGCCAAAAGCACAACTCGTCATTCCGACAAACCAAGATAGTCCCTGCGAGTCGAACCCCCCATTGTTCTCAAATTGCAAAAAGACTTCTTCCTTGGACTTATGATCGGACATGTACGTCAGAGTGATCATGATACCGAAAAATCCAAGCACATGTACGACCAGAAGGACAGTCTCAATCCGGGGAAGAAGTCTTCCGCCGGCCAAGTTAACGAGCAATGCGCAAAGCAGTGTAGCCCAAATGATCAATGTTCCCTGCCATGGTAAGGAATCATAAAGACTGTTTCCCAAGATCGCAGCACCCTGGATCATCGTCCCGGTCAAAAAGGCGGATGATGCAAGGGCGGTTTGCCAACCAAGAACGGCCCACCAGCCTATTTTGAACCTTTGTTAGTAAGGAAGGGTGTGACGATAAATACTTATCATTTGCGAATTGCGACCTACCTGTCATGAAGCTTAGAAATTTCTGGTATTTAATCGGGGCAAGCATAGCAGCCCAGTGATACTGGCCTCCGGCGGTAGGCGCCCTACATCATTGATTAGCTCCAGCGTTTGACCCAATAAGGTTAGCTGACATGCATTGATGTTAATTCCGACAAGACGACAAAAATGGCTGCTGTGCCTAACCACCCAAATATGAATGCATAGACGGTGCCACCGGAGCCACCACTATTAAATGTTAGATTTTCCAGGGCCTAGAATTACTTGTGTTGAGTACAAACTTCTTTAGAGGCCCAACGAAAGTGCTGGAACGACCTTTAGCAAAGAATTCCGGGAAAGTGGAAAAAGGGTCATGCTCACCCTAGCAATCCTTCCCAGGTACCCAGAAGGGTGCAACTGAAGCCAAAAATTGAGAGAATGCCAAAACTCCGCTAAAAAAATAGGATTTCAGCAGTCCGAACTCGTGATCTTCATGGCTCCAACGGCCATTGTGCTTACTTTGAGAACCGGCTTCTTTCCAATTTGTCGAAGATGCGCATTGTCGTGCTCCCAAGTAGATACTCCTTCTGGGGTGTACATTCGTCCCCTTCCGGTAACGAGCGCGTCGCTCTTCAGTTCATATATGGCCATGGTGTGAATTGAACGAGCGGAAAAAGATGATCCAAAAGGTAGGACAAACGAAGAGAATTGAAGATACCGAGAGGAATGAATGGGAGAAGGAAAAGAAAGCGGAATAAGGGAGGATTGGTATGCAGGGGAGCGCGATTTCGCAGTCTGATTGGACAATTGGCGCGCATCGCTGCAGTATGCAAGATGTGAGGAACCTTCTGTTCCAACAAAGCTACCTCAGTACGCGTTCTAGGCTTTGAATTGTAAGCTTGGTTCGGAATTTATCAGGGCCAATCATAGGTGATATTCGTTCGCTCGTTGAAAGAAAAACTTATTCTTATCGATGTAACATGTAACATAGAATTGTGGGGCTATTTAGTCTAAAAATCCGCTATCCTAAGTGGGATGATCGACAGCGGTTGCTTATAGGGCCGCCGCTGATTTAAGGTTTAGCTACGATGTAGAGTAGACTTCCAGAACATCGGCGGCAACCTGCGACCTGCAATGGATCGTGATTGGGGCTCTAAACCTAAAAGAGATAATAGAGTAACCAACGAGACAAATCATCGGAGACCTCGATAGGGCACTAAGAAATACAGTGGCGCGTATCGTATCCACATAAAGTTCTTGGGACCTCATCTAGATCCTTACAGGTGAATCTATATGTTGATGGTTCTAAAGGACGTGATTAGCCCTTGCTCCCGGCTAAAGGACCTGAGACTGACAAATCGCGTTTATAACGAGATGTTAAACTATTCACGACGGAGGTATCAGGTAGGATTGACAATATATTCTCTATCCATTTTATTTGCAAACATCAAAAACTGGAAATAATCAAGGAATTGAGTGGGGCAGAAATTGGTAAATGTATTTGTGACTGGGCTAAAGCTTAAATGCCAATCATCCATGAATCAGTCGTGTTTCCTCCCAGACTGAACGTTTTCGTGCTTCATCGCAAACAATTTGTCACGCTGATTTTGGCATTCATTCACTAGCTTGGTTTATGCTAGCAACAGAAATTTAAATTCTCTACTAGCATATTATTTTATCGGAATCTATGATCGCGCACCAGTGGCTCCACAATTAGCAAGACACTACTATCAGTATAACACGTTTCCCATCTTCAGCAGATGAGCACTATCAAACTGCTAGGCAGAATAGCGAAAGGTTTCAGGCGCTGAAGTTCCTGTGTTTTCGTGTTTAAACAATGAAAAGAGAAAGCTACGTGGTCAGAATAAAATAATCGAATGATGGGAGAGAAGAAAGGAAAGGTATACGAAATGTAGGGTATCGAGGAAGAAGGATAGATGTGGTGCGAGATAATACCATGCTATTATTTGATCGGATATATAACGTGGCTTCAAAACAATCAAGTGTATAAGTATCCGTTTAATTAGATGTCTTTCAGGTCGAGCTAGAAATTTTGGCTTTTGTCCCAGAATTCGGAGTTGGACAGAATCATGTTCGTTTTTCTCGGTGGCAAATTTATCAATAACAATGCAGTCTCTTCTTGATGTCATCTAAATTTCAGTAATCGAGATTCGCCCACATATATAGCGTGGTCTTCTGGGGCCGCGCACGTCATTAGGCCGTTGATGCTCCGAAATTTTGGTTAAGGCGCGGTGGATTCTTGTTATCGAGGCCAGAACTACATGGGCCGAAATGACCCATCATGAGTTATTGTTTTGCGAGTGGGAGGTATACAAGATCTGAAGTGGGCGACCGATGCCGGAATATAGGATGACGATTATAGGGAGTGGTTTTATTGGGGTTGCCTCACAATGCCTGTAGCCTCACCTAGACCTCGCCAAATGGGCGGGTTGGGTTTCGACCCTTGACCCAAAACCCGCCAAGAGATTAAAATACACGTAACATATACCTGATTACATCACTCTATATCTGGTATTGGTTGTATTTCAACAGTAATACTGTAATATACAGGTAAATGGGTTCTTGGCGGGTTCGCGGGTATTCCTTCGGGTACCCAAAAAAGCAATATGGCGAGGTCTAGCCTCACCATGTCTGTAGCCTCACGTGATATCTACACCGACATTTCCGAGGGCCTCTTCCTCCTACAACTGCCTCACGAGAGTCAGTTGATGGCCTCTGCGGGTAGCTCGTCATCTCTCAGGCAGTCAAGTGTCAATTTTGTGTTTCACGTCCTTCCCTACGGCAACAGCACCGATAAGCCTTGACTATATCTCTCTCCACCATGACATTCAGCCAGTCTAGCAGTGTCACTCCTGCCCCGCTCGACTCCGCTTGGCCACCGGCCCACATTTGGGAGACTATGGGTGCGGCAGACCGTGCCAGTTAGTTAGGGTAGATACAGAAAGACAGGGCTAGACGCCTTGAATTGGATGTAGCAGAGACCGATCTACGCCGCAGAAGACCTCATGTGGACCTGCAAGATAACGATAATCTCTAAGAAAACCGTGAGCCTCCCCCTGAGGTCAAATCACTCATCGACATATTTCCGGGTGTCTCCGCCGCCCTTCTTATCCGCGTCTTCGAGGGGAAGTTGAAGGCGACTGAACTTATACGCTTCAAAGAGAAGTCAGTCACCGAGCTAGATCAGGAGGATAGAGTCTTCAAAATGACCAAATCGGGAGGCACAGTGGGCTTCAAGAAGGCAGCAGCGTCGCTTAAGGACTGGGGCCCTAACCCTCAGATATGGACGACTTGCTTTCTTGCCTATCTGGCCGTTGTAGGGTACCTCTTCGGCGAGAAACATCCTAAGGCAATTCCCAACCTCCTCATATTTATGAGGCAGATCCTGGACTTCGCTCAGACTTATCAGTGGTCGGAAGCAGTTCTCCCACTTGCCCTTAATTTCCACCAATACATACTGGATAAAGGAGAGCTATCGACGGATAACTACCTGGTCACAGGCCCATTTCGCGAGAAATACCTCCGCCACAATCTCACCCTACCTACGAAGTCACTAACAAATCCTCCAGCCCGGCCTCGTCAAGCCAGGAATACCAGGTCTTCGAATAATGAGACAGAGGTTTGCGATAAGTTCAATACGATAGGGTGCTCCTAGGAAGGCTGCAAGAGACGTCATGAGTGCACGGCATACGGCCTAAGCGAGCATGGTGCCTCCTCCTGCCGCAAGAAGAAGTAGCAAGCGATAGCCCTTGAGAACTGCACTAGTAACACCGGCAACGTTGTTCTTAACCCCTTATCCCTAAGCCTCATACCGTAGGGGTAACCACCTAGACCAAACACTACTATTCAATATCCCGTGTTCAACCCAGAGCTCCTAAGATTATAATCCTCTCCGTCACCACTTAATGCGAAAGGCTGGAGCAATCTTCTGCGCTACTATCCAGGCGATCTAGGCTCCACTATCGCTGGAATTCTGACCATCCATATATTTTCAGAGCTTTTTTGCTCCGGCTGACATGTTTCCAGTTGGCTTATTCCGACCCCTGCGACCTACCCAACAACAACGGCTATATACAACATCACTACAATTAACCTCACGAAAAATTACACTCTATGCTCCCAGGCCATGCAATACTATAATGTTTCTCTTGAAGATGGATTGACTTCGGCAATGCTCGATAATACAGCTTGGATAGCAGAGTACAATAGGGTGTCTCCTTGATCTCTCACAGCCGCTACCCACACAGGCATTCAATATAAGTATCTCCCTTGTTACTCAATCCAGTCCGTCAACCGCATTCTATACAACTTCCACACCCCAAGCGAGTCTATTATCCACAGAGATGACGACTAGTATCACCAGCACAGCCATGGAATCCACAATATTACCTTCCTCGACTTCAACGACAACATCCTCCTCAAGCATACCTAGCAGCAGCGGTCTCACTATTTCACCGAACGGTCTGTGCGGTGACTCATACGGGTACACCTGTGCAGGCTCCTAGTTCGGAAGCTATTACAGCATTTACGGTTATTGGTATGCTAAGAAAATTTCATTCATATCTTTCAGTATTAAATTCCACCTCTAATCTTGAATAGTGGCTCAACGACGGACTACTGTTCCGTAAGTGCATGCGATAGCTCCTACGGAGAATGTGACGCTTGAATAAAGCCTTGCTTTTTTTTCTACATATTAGACATCATTCATCTATGGTGCGCAGATGGCTTAGGCATACACCTTAGTGGATCTAAGCATTGACCATAGTAGCTATTACCTTATCCTGTCACGCAATTTATTGAATTTTTGGAATTTGCTCTGCAACCGAGCCTTGATCGAGCTAAGAGACGACCTAGTCTCGCACTAGTCGACAGAAATTTTCGTAGTCAGGGACTTGCCCCACAGCGGGGCGCGGCAGGGGGGTATTTGATTATCCGACTACGCTTAGAGCCCGTCTACTCCGTACCATCCGGATCTCTGCCGCTTATGTAATGCTTCACTTCGACACCCATGATTCGGTAATTTTCACCATCGGACAACATGATGCAAACAATCCTCTCGCCTATGGACGTTTGGCCCGGCGGAATCCCAGCTGCCGTAAGACTACACCCCGACAGCGTTTCGGATAAGGATGGCCTACAAGAAGAAATTAAAGGATGGTGCCGGTACTTGAAGGTACGAACCTCTTTGAACATAGCAATGGGTGTTATTAACATCTAATAGGAATTCCGAATTCCCAATTCTGACCCAGCAGAGGATATGACCCAACGACGAGCTTTGATAGAAAGATGGGCATCTGCAGATCAAAGCTTTCGTGATGTACGAATTCCTTCCATTTTACTCTCTTGTCTTTTCGGCTGAATGTCAATTTTAATACCGAATCGACGTTTTCTAGTCATATCATTCAAATGCTCCCCTGCCGAACTTGATTGGTTTCAACGGCCCACGCATGTCCAAACGCTTCATCTGCCTTGTCGACAAGCCTTTTGATCATGAAAACTACCCCCGCATAACCAAGTTGTTGATTCTCCTCTATATCCATCTTCAGCTGACGAGTGGCCACCCGTTTAGCTTTGATCGTGGTCCTATCCCACAGGTCCCAGCATTCATGCTGGACCCTAATACTATCACAGCATCTGCCGATGACCAGTATGCCCAGCTCCTAACAACAGAGAATATACCCGTGAACTATTACCTTGAAACCGCCCAATTTTCCACAATGGCCATGACTCGCTCAGGGACTGTCGTCTTTCCACGTCTTGATGAGCATGTATACTTTGTGATTGATAATCAGAGCTGTCAGGACGGGCGCCTCCGCCTACTCATCTTCGGACCCAATGGACAAATCATCAACCAGGCGCGAATGACCCCGTTCACAATAGGCCCTCTCACGCTGCTCCGTCATGCACTAGGCCATTCCTGGGATGAGCTTTTTGAGGAGAGACCAGACATGGATCCGCGCTGGAACCAACCGTATGTAGACTCGTTTCTTCTTTCGCCCCTCCCCTACCCGTAATTCTCTTTCGCGGCGGCAATAGGTACAAACCTTGAAACAGCTAGTAACAAAAAGAACCATGACAATAGCATCGATATCCATCTACCAATCCTGGAAATTGTGGCGGGGTTGAGCCAGCGTGGGGACTTGGCGCCCCTGAACGACTACACTGCAGCTGAGTGGGCCGAGGAGTTTGAGCGGTTCGCGCCGGGCTACCTAGCCTTTGAGCGCCAGGGCCGGGTGATTGAGTACAGCTGGGATCGGCTAGTGGATGTGTCAGACGGCCCATTTTTAACGTATGGCCATCTTCGCTATGCCCGACAGCTAGCCACATTACAGGGGCGAGGTTAGTTTGAAGAATAGAGGAGAATCTGTGTTTAGGCTTCGGTAGGACCCAAGTTTACCCGGACCTAGTCTGTGCCATAACCCGCAAATGGGTAGGTAAAGTCAACCCGCAACCCGAACCCGCAAAACCCATGGGTTGGTCAAGTCAACCCGCAACCCGCCCCATGCGGGTTGCGGGTTCGGGTGCGGGTTACCCACGCTAGCCCATCTTTGCATAATTTTTGACACTATACCTAAAAAGGATGGATAAATCCAATTTTTTATGTAATAAACCACTTTTATGTACAGTTTTATACATAAATTTCTATGTTTGTCCTGTTTGACGACCCATTGGGTAACCCATAAACCCGCGCGGGTTTCCCATCAGAACCCGCAACCCGCATGCGGGTTAGACAGACCGACCCAAAACCCGACCCATAGGGAGGATGGGGCGGGTTCGGGTGCGGGTTTCTGCGGGTTACGGCACAGCCTACCCGGACCCAACCCAACCCAATACCCAATTGGGTCACAAACATAGTAAACATGCCAAGATTCTGCTACTGCATAAATTATGCGTTTTAGCGCTGTAACTTTGGGTATTTCCCTTACAACTTTTATCATTTAATAAACAGCTGACTATAAAAATCGATTATTTTTACTATATTATGTATTCATGAATCCAAAAAAGGTGCTTATTCGTACTAAAGAGGATACAATAGGCAATAGGGCGTCAAAAATTTAAGTGCTACCTAGGCTAGAGAGGCTTGGTTGAAGGTAGAAGCTGAGAATCTGAGGTCGGATTCAAGATGGCCAATTGGGCCCACATAATTGCATTCTGTACCTCGCTTTTCTCGAACAGAGTCACAAAATCTTCTTCGACGAAATAACCAATGTACCTCGCTTTCCTCGAACAAAGGCACAAAATTTTCGTCGTCTTAGTTATTTCGTCGAAGCCACGGCCCTGCGAGTTTGAGAGTGCCGTTTGATTTCCTCTTAGATTTCCGCCGAAGCCATGGTCCAAGATACTCCGACTTTTCGGTCTAACCTATAGGGGTAATTCCACCGGACACCAGTGGAATTCGGGTGAGATTCTTTAGTATGGGAGAAAAAAAGTGGGGCGGGGTCTATTATAATTAATTTTCCCGAGTCTGTTATAATTTTAATGCTTTATTATATAGATCTTAAATTTTGATATGTTTTTCGTTACCCTCTACTTTATAGTTAAACTGTTAGGGTTTATGGATAAGATAGAGGGAGAATAGATGGGTTGTAAAAAAGCAGTAATCAGATTTGTATCAAAACTGATTCTTGAAGGAATCGTAGGTACTAAGAGAGAGATGGGCTTTATACCCCGCACTCTCTCGGCAAGGTCAGCTGAGGTCACATGAGAGAACTTCCAGATACTCCTTGTCAGTTTCGTGACAATTATCCCCCCTCTAAGGGGCAACTGCCCCAGTTGACCAGACCCTTCAAGTAATTGCTAAATACAGAACCAAAGACAGAACCGAGAGTTGACAGGAAAGTGTTTGTAGAAAAGAACACGCATCAGTTTTCACAAAGAAAGCAGGGCGATACGACCATCTGTCGCCTGCAAAACAAAGGGGTTTCGATCACGCAATCTGCGTAAAATTCTCAAATGAGAGATTCTTTGATATTGAGGTTTCAGCCTCAGTTTAACCTTTGTTGACAGTAGGAGCGGTTTGTCTTTGTTCTACTGGGAATATCCGACAGGGCAGAGATAGAAAAGGTAAGGAATTACCCTCGCTCCTCTCCTATTATCCACCATTGTTCCCAGCAGAATCGTCATCTTCTTCATCTTCAGGACTAATGCCCTTGCCAAGTGACAGGACACCTCGGGCATCACCTACCCGGGCGTCGTATACTGCTTGTATCGGCTGCTTTGGCCGGGCTGGTACAGCCTTTGTCGCAGGTGACGGATCCCGGGTGGATATAGAGTGTACTTGGGGTACGGTTGCTTCACAGAATTGCGATGGTTGTAATGGTAAGAACGCGGTTTGCCATGTGGTGAGTATCCTCAATTCAGTACTGATTCGGAGCTAATTCGGGGTTGCTTCACTTCTAGGTCCCAATCGGCATGTTGTACGAATCATGGGTTCTCTTTGAGATCCTCGAGTGGGTCGATAATTCTGTCCCTGGCAGCGCAGCACCGAGTACAGGTCTTACTGCTCCAGTTGGTGTAGTTGGCTCTGGTCCCGCGGCGATCACATGGGGACCCGAATCTTCTGATGAAGCCCACGAAGCGTCGGTGAATCTCCTCGCTGCCCTTCGGAAAACGATTACTGCCCATTGTGTGGAAAATGGCCTTGATTCCGCGAAGAAGTGGGAAGGCGAACCCTGGTGGGAATATCAGCGGATCAGTCGTGATAAAGCTCGGGTTCAGCAGGATCGTATTGCTCGTCCTGTGACCTTTCCGAACACCCTTTGTCGTCTTGAACCTGACGAGGATGGGTATATGGTTTGGAATACTGCTATATGGAGTTACTTCCAGGATGTTGCAAATGCGGGTCTCGCAACTGGCGAGATGACCGCTGCAGTCGCTGATACTATCCGTAATAAGGCTTCCGAGTATTATTGTGAGTATTGATTCGGAAGGGATTCGGCTAGGTTTCGAGGTGATGTAGCAGAAACGGATTCTGTACCTCGCTTTCCTCGAAGAAGATCACAAAATCTTCTTCGTCTTGGTTATTTCTTCGAAGCCCAGGGCCTAGGCACTTTTGGATTTGTGCTAAGGCCCTAGGATTCGGCCTGAATGTCCTTTGTGTTTCGAATCCAGTTTTTTTTTTTTTTTTAAATTTTTGTTGATTTTCTTTGTTGTCCAACGCATCCCCCCTCGATTGGCGGTCGCCCCGACCGGTATATATAGTCGAGGTTGGATAGTGAAGGATAAGTGGAGAAGTAAGTAAAGGGATAGGTGAAGAAGTGAGTGAAGAAAGAAGTGAAGTTTTACTTCTTCTTCTTAGATGACTTTCTGAATTTGGTGATAAGCTGTTTTGCGTTCATATCGTCTTCGGCGACCCATTGGTTGTATTCCGAGGGCCAGCCTTTCCACTTCACTAGGAAGTGTATATCGTTATCAATGATCTTTTCATCTCGAAGCTCCTCGATTTCCCATTCGTCATCATCGTGTAGATCAGGTAACGAAGGTGATTCGGTGCCGTCTCGGGCATACCAAGGTTCGAGTAGTGTGACCGGGAAGACGTTATGTAAACGTTCGTATTTGACGGGTAATCCAAGGCGGTATGCCTGTTTGCCAACCTTGGCGAGGACCTTAAAGGGCCCGACGAATTTCGGGCTGAGCTTCTTGGAGAGAAGGTTCAATTTGAGGTTTTTGGCGGCCAATTTGACCATATCGCCGACCTTAAACTCCATAGGTTTGTGCTTCTGGTTATAGTGTTTCGTCATTGATTCGTTCGCCTTTCGCCAGCTTTCCTCTGTCGATTTACGGAGGTCTGCGAGCTTTTGGATTCGGTCTCGAGCTGAGGGTGCGTCTTTGTCTTCGACGTCAAGATCAGGGTGAAGACGCATTTCAGGGCTATACCCCATAAGCGCCATGAACGGTGATACTCCGGTAGTCGCGTTAACGGCATTATTACACGCAAACTGGGCGGTTCGAAGTAGATTTGGCCACGTAAGCTGCGAGTGGTCCACAAAACAGCGGAGATAGTATTCGAGCGTTTGATTCATACGCTCGGTTTGACCATCAGTTTGAGGGTGATAAGCGGTTGATAACCGAAGCTTAACGAGGGAATGATAGCACAATCTCGACCAAAATTTGCTGGTAAAGAGGCTTCCTCGATCGGAGACAATACCCTCTGGGGATCCGTACTTCAAATCGACATGTTCGTAGACGAGTTCGGCAAGTTCTCCGGCGGTAATCGTAGTCGTGACGGGTAAGAAAATGCAGTATTTCGTAAACCTATCGACAATGACTAAAATAGCATCAACACGCTCGTTTTTGTAAAGGACAGGGGGAAAACCTGTGATGAAATCCATGGAGATCTCAGCCCATGGCCTTTTTGGCTGTGGTAAGGGTTGAAGTGCTCCATAAGGCTTATGCCTTAGGGCCTTTACACCTTGACACACGGGGCATGACGAGACATAATCGATAACATCTCGATTCATCTTTGACCAATGGAATTTCCGCTTTAAAAGCTCTTCAGTACGATTTCGACCGAAGTGTCCGGAGTGGGGGTCGTCATGATGGAGTTCAAGAACCTTCTGACGAACAACCCCATCAGGGATAAAGAGCCGCTTACGATACCTTAAAAGGCCTTCAGCATCAATCTCCCACCCGATCCGGTTAGGAATCTCTCCTAAAACGGCATCCTTTCGCATCTTGGTCTCAGGATCGTCACCCTGGGCCTTCGCAATAAGGGCCTTCAAATCCGAATTTGGACTTGATGATAGAACATTTTCGTTCTGAGCAGCATAAACACATGCGCTTTGGGAAATAGAATAAGCAGAACTTAACGATTCCCAAACAGACCAATCCACTGTTTCAGCAGCATCTCGCCTGCTAAGCGGGCCCTCTACGTCCACGCTTGATTGGGTTTCGGGAGCGACCCGTTGAAGAAACTGAACCTTAGCGAATTTGCTTCGGATCATAGAAAGAAGGCTAACTGAATCAGGCTTTTCTGAATTCGGCTGCCGAGATAGACCATCTGCCGGGTTGGATTTGCCCGAGCGATGTCGAATCTCAATATCAAAGGGGGTAAGCACCATACACCATCGCGCCTGTCTACCGTTCAACCTGGGTTGCTTCATAAAAGTTTGCAGGTTGTAGTGATCTGTAAGCACCTCGATGGTATACTGGCTACCCTCTAGATAATGTCGCCAGCTTTTAAAAGACTGAACGATGGCGAAAAGCTCCTGATCCGGAGTCGAATAATTCAACTCCGCTCCGGTAAACTTCCGCGACCAAAAGGCCACTGGGTGCCAGACGTCATGATCGTCTGGCTGGGAAAGAATTCCGGACATGCCGAGATTCGAGGCATCCGTCTCCAATCGAATCCTCCTTGAAGGATCAAAATATCGAAGGAGAGGTGCTTCCCTAAAAGATCCGATTAGTGTACGAAACGCACGTAATTCGGGCTCGCTTAGCTGCACGGATCCAGGTTTTTTCCCATTTTTACTCCCCTTGAGGAGATCAGTAAGTGGCAGCGCTATCAAAGAGTAGTTCTTGATAAAGCGTCGGTAAAAGTTGCAAAATCCAAGGAACACTTGGATATCATGGTAGGTCTTAGGGACCTCCCACGATTCGATAGCGGAAATCCGCTGAGGATCCATAGATATACCCCCTTGTCCAATAATGAACCCGAGGAAATCGACTTCTGATTGGTAGAAGGTGCATTTTGACACTTTTGCGTATAATTGTGCATCTCGGAGACGTATAAGCACTTGCTTTATATGCTCCGTGTGCTCATCTCTCGATTTCGAGAAGATGAGAATATCGTCTAAATAGGCGATACAGATGATATCAAGAAGTCCATGCAAAGCAGTATGGATATACGACTGAAAGGTAGCAGGAGCGTTAGTTAGCCCAAAAGGCATAACCGTATACTCGAAGTGGCCGTAACGTGTACGAAAAGCTGTCTTCCATTCGTCGCCTTCCTTGATTCGGATCCGATAGTACGCATCCTGCACATCGACTTTTGAAAAGTGAGTAGCGCCAGATAATCGGTCGAGGATCTCCGAAATCAAGGGTAAAGGGTAACGATTTTTAACCGAAACTCGATTGAGTCCTCGGTAATCAACGCATAACCTTAATCCTCCGTCCTTTTTAGGTACGAAGAGGATTGGAGCGCCAGCGGGGCTCTTTGAGGGTCGGATTCGACCATTTTGGAGATTTTCGTCTAGGTATCGACGTAATTCCGCCAATTCTGTTTGCGAAAGTGGGTAAATTGGTCCAAAAGGAGGTGTTGCTCCAGGTGTTAACTCAATGGAGTGGTCAGAGTTCTTAAAAGGGGGTAACGTCTTCGATTTCACGTTCTCGAAAACGTCCCGAAACTCCTCCAATTCAGGTGGTAACCCTTGCGGATCCACCCCTGAATCGTCCTCGTTTTCGGGTTTATACACCTCTTCGGGTAACTTGACCACAGCGAAGACACATACTTCATTTCTGCACTTTTTGGCGAATCTCCAAGGCGTTTCGATAATAGTGGACGATACTGAGGTTTCGAACCACCACATACGATTCGCAGGTGATAAGTGTATCTTCAGGTCACAGAGAGTGGTCATGGATAATAAAACAGGGCTTCCTTGAGGTCTCGGGTCCCTATCGACAGCGACACATACTCTCTCGAAGGTTTTAGTAGTACCCCTTGAATCTTTAATACTGAGGGGAACCCTCCATACTCCATATGTGGGTACAAGGACGTCCCCGATAGCACGGATCAAGGGTTCTGTTGTCTTGGCTTGCTGCAGATGCTGACTTTTTGCAAATTCGTAGCTAACTAGGTCGACTTCGGCTCCAGTATCGAGATCCGCATGGGTCTCGGTGCCGTTTCGTAGCCGAATCGGGATGAATAATCGAGTTGCTGTGCCAAGTTGGGGTAAGGATTGGGTCGAAGACGGCTGGCCATCCTGCTCGACCCTCACACTTTTCCCGCCTTAGCCGATTGCGCTTTTACAGCGTTTGCAGGATTTTTCTTGCACTCTGGGCTGTTGCCATAGTGGTCAGGACTCGAACAGTTGATGCACTCCTTCTGCTGGGTCTTGGGATTCAGCTTCCAAATCCAGTGAGCGGGGTGTGTGTTTGTAGAGTCCTTAGGTGATTCAGTAGCGTTTCTTCTAGGAATCCCCCTTGGAGCTTGACGGGGTCTTCCTCGGAAGTTACCTCGGCCTCTCTTCACTGGGGTAGGTGCTTCCGTATTTATGGTGGAATTGCTATTCTGTGCCCTTTTTGGGTTTTCTTTTGGTGTATGCCCTTGGGGTTTCACCTTGTTTTGGATGATGGTCCAGTGGCGATTCGCTTCTGCAACCATATCCTTAAGGGTTTCAGGCAACTGGCCTGCCCGGGCAATAATGATTGCATCTTTGAGGTTTCGTTGAAGCTTTGAGTAGTAGATCTGAGCACGACGCTGCTCGGAAGGCTTCTCGAAGAAGCGTTCTAAACTTAGTAGATACTGGTGGAATTCGATAGGTGTCTGGGTTGGGCGCTGCTTTGCTTCTTCGAATCGATCTTGATAATCGATAATGCCAGTGGACATATTGGCAATAAGCTCATCTGTCCATTCCTTGAAATACGTCCACGTATGGGTAGCGTATCGGGCTTCATCCTCATCAAGTTCTTCGATGTGTGTAAACCACCGTTGTCGACAGTCTTCGTCCATATTGAAAGAAGCAGCGATAATCTGGGCATCTTCGGTCTTGAATTGCCGTGGGGCAGCACGGAATATCTGTTCGTGATTTTTGAACCATTCCTGCTGCTGTTGTAGGCTGAAGTGAAGAGTAAAAGGTTTTTTCAAGTCCGGTAGCTTCAGATCCTTTTTATGGACGTGTCCACTTCGGTCCGAGTCCGAATCGGTTCCTTCTCGGGGGCGTTTCGAAGTATGTTTTTGGACTTGTTTCTCTAGCTCTTCAATTCGCTTAAGGAGACGGGCGGTCATGAGCATGTTCTTCTCTTTCTCCCTAAGTTCTCTAATTGTGGGGTCACTCAGGGATTCGCCTATGGAAGCGAGCGGTTCGAGGTCCGAATCGTCATCGTCTCGAGGTGGTTCCGTGGTGGAGTCGATCGGGGTTGGATCCACGGTCGGCGCTAGCTCCACCGGGTCCACCGAAGGTTGTGGGTTACTGCGAGTAGTACGCACCATCTTTTCTTCTCTATCATATCAAAGAAGAATCAGAATTGTTAGGGTTTATGGATAAGATAGAGGGAGAATAGATGGGTTGTAAAAAAGCAGTAATCAGATTTGTATCAAAACTGATTCTTGAAGGAATCGTAGGTACTAAGAGAGAGATGGGCTTTATACCCCGCACTCTCTCGGTAAGGTCAGCTGAGGTCACATGAGAGAACTTCCAGATACTCCTTGTCAGTTTCGTGACAATATACATCATCAAGTCTTGAATAGTCACTTCATGAAGAGACCCTCGACGATAATGACAGATGTCTCGCGCACTGTTGAAAAGCCTTTCCACCCCCGCGCCGGTGGCCGGAACCGAAAGCAAGTCGCGTGCCAGCCGAGAAAGCACAGGGAACTCACGCTCATGTTCTCTCCAATAGAGCCGTGGTGGCACGGGAACATTTGCTATAGAAATCAGTTAGTGGTCTAAGTGTAGTATGCCAGTTGCCCATACCTTCTCGGAGGTACCGATCCACCTCGTCATGCTCTACCCCTTCGAGGAGCATATAGTCATTAACTGGTTCAAGTAGCCGATCAAGTTCTGAACTATGCAGTGCCGACGAACGATGCACTGTACGGAACAATAGCTCAGGATTTTGTTGTTGATACTGCGTGAAACACGCTCTCAAGTATTCACAGTACCTTTTCGAAGTATCCTCGTGGCAAATAGAATACTCCCTGTCATCAAAGGCAGATAGTTTATATTGAGGAGCAAGTAGAGCTCCCGTGCCATAGAGAAAGCCGTGGTCACGGTAGGTCTTCTCAAAGTACTCTCTCAGTTTCTGCCTCGCAACGAGCAGCGCGCTATACATGTCCTTCTTCCAAGGCGTTGTCTTTTTCTTCAACTTTCGATTTGACCGTTCGATATGCTCCAGAAGTTTCCTATACACAAGGAACACGCTATGAATTGTCACGTCTTTGGTCTTCATTAGAGCCATGGTGAATTGAAAGAACGGTTTGGTCAAGTGGACTAGATAGTCAATCTGCCGCCATTCAATGTCAGTAATCTTGAACTGAGAGTATTCATGATCGTCGCAGTATTTGTCGATGATATTTCTTAGTCGACGCGCACGGCGAAGCATCAAAACAGTGGAGTTCCAGCGTGTTTGAACATCGTGCAACGGAAACAGCCGGGTTCCGCCTGATTGAAGACATAAAAATGTATCTCGCCGTTGTGGGCTTGCATTGACAAATACCGCAAATGACCGAATCTGCCTTGATCAGTACTCCGCCCATATTTACAGTCATTCGTGGAAGCTCCAGACTCACCTTTGCCAGGGTATGAGCCACATCTCCGTGGCTTGCTGAGTCTCTTAAACCGATGACTTGAGTATCAGACCAAAAGGTCTTTACTTCTTTGTTCTTGGGCGCTGCTCTAATATGCCCCAAAAGCTGCTTTAGGCAAAGCTGGATCACATGGGCCATACAAGGAACCCGGATAATGGATTCCCTGGAGCCAATCGCGCCAGTAGAGATCAGTTTTTCTTGCAAAGCGCGGATCAACGTCTCATTGTTGGACGCATTATCTGTCGTGACGCTAAAGATGCGATCCAAGAGTCCACGTTCCTTCAGTAACTGATGGAGAACATCACTGAGGTTGTTCCCTGTGTGGGGACCGTGCAATGGTTCAAAGCCAAGGAGCATTTCTCGGTAATTCCAATCTTTGTCAATGAAATAGACTGTGATTGCCATAAATGCTTGCTGGAATGGACTGGTCCAACAATCCAACGCGAGTGACACCTTAGCGTCTTCAGGCAGATCTTGCAATTGCGACTCCTGTTGAACTGTAACTGCATTCCGGAGTCGCCTTCGCAGGGTTTTTGCTGACGGAAGTTCCAGTACTCCAGTTCCCGAATTTACGAGGTTAAGCAGCCTCTGGAACACAGGGTTCTCCACTGTTTGGAATGGCAACCGAAGACAGGTAATAGTCTTTAACAACTGCTCCTCAAGTTGGAATGTTGTTACCTTGTGCACATTGGCCGACTCCCTCATGGAATGGTTTTGCAACGAATCGGGGATTAGTGTTTGATGAGATCCTCTTTTCTTTCCCTTGCGGCAAGAATTTGACTTTTGGTGTCTACTCATAGCACTTGTCCCATTGCCTTTGTACTGTGGATGATCAAGCAAAGTAAGACAGGCTTTACAAAGGACTCGTGGGCGCCCAGAATCGATATCGGCTACCTGGTCAAAGTGTTTCCAAGCGTCGGCATGACGCGACTCGGTAGACCACTTGATTTGGGACTGACCGTCCCCGTTTAGCTTGTGGCCATATTCGGTTTTCTCCCACCATCCTAAAAATTCTCTCTCCAGGTATAACTCGTACAAAATCCAGTTCTTTCTGCGTTGAGGTCCCACGCGTCTTAGCGTCGCCGGAGGTCTTCGAGTATTTATGTCGTAGCTCTCGCGGGATTCGGTGAAAGGCTGTAGGCTATCTTAGCATACCAGTGGGGAGTCTCGGAATAGTCAATCAAGCACACGAAGGAGGCATTTGTTCTCATACAGAAGACTGAATATCCGAGTCCAACAAAACGTCAGACGATGGCTCAATAGAGAGCAGAGGGCTGAAAGCCTGATACCTTGATTGCGATGACGAGGAAGAAGCCGCCATGTTGATGGTTTGTGCCATCGGAGTTGAAGGTAAAAATATCCATCTTGTGTGCTTGAATGTGGATATTTGTTAGAGTCGCGTCGTGCGTTTGGATCTATCTATTCTTGAGTCGCGCAAGCCCGCGGGTACCCAAAACCCAACCCAACCCAAAACCCGCGCGACTTGAGGACGCTGAGAACATTCCAATGGCTAATTTTAAGTGCGTCAAGTTGAATATAATCGAATGAATACAACGCAGTAAGCTTGGATTCCATTAAACTTTCATAAGCTCATCGATACGGCTTGAGATCTCTTGAGATACAGAAAGACTGTCAAGAGAAACCTCGAGATAAGCCTAATATATATATATTTTCTGACACATGATGAGGGGGCAGTATTTGAGCGTAACACACAGCCAAAAGCGTGACAATTATAAAATACAAAAATTACACACAGTGACTAATCAGTTTTATTCGCGATTTAGCCATATACTTGGGTATTTTGGGTAACCCACGGGTACCCGCCAAGAACCCACGGGCGGGTTCATGAAGGCCAAAACCCGCGGTGGGCTACCCGTGGGCGGGTAAAGAAAATGAAAACCCAACCCAAACCCACGCTTGGCGAGGTCTAGTTTGCATACTAATTACTGGATATGAGGTTTTTATCTGGCAGAAAATGCGGCAGAATTACTTAAAGTGGGTCGGGGGGTTTCAAACTCATGGAACGCCACTGTATATAGGGCCCTAAAACGTGCTATAAACATGCTGTATTAAAAGGCTTGGCATGTTTGCTATAATTTGCGACCCAATTGGGGACCCAGTGGGGATCCATAAAAACCCTATGGATCTTGGGTCCATTTCATACGCTTGTTCATGGCCAATTTACGCTAAATCCGCCTGAGACATGGCCATGTAATGGAGTTCTCAATCATTTTTGGTAGGAAAATGCGGACAGCTGGTCTCAATGACATAGGTTTAATGCTAGAGAAACATAGTATTGAACATCCAGTTAAGTGGTGGCGGGGAGAGTAGAGTGTAGAATCGTCGAAATAAACAATTCACTCAGCCAAGGTCACTGAAGGCCAGTAGGTGCAGTGTAGACCTATGCACACGCATGATACTGTCTAATCCGGCGAAGTTCGAATCTCATGGGATCCCATTGGACAAGGTGCCTGTCCCAGATGCATAGATCTAGTGCAGTGGAGAAGCGGGCATACGTACGTCGCGATCCTAAATGCCGCGTCACCAAGCTAAGCAGCCTAGTGCAGTGGAGAAGTGGGCATACGTACGTCGCGATCCTAAATGCCGCGTCACCAAGCTAAGCAGCCTACCTGGAAAGCTTCAAGGGTGGATACTCTATGAACGATTGGATTGGTCCGGGAGTGAAATATCAATTTGAGCTTAGCTTTTTGAACCACCTTGTTACTCGCTTTTGAACTAGTCATTATCGACATTTAGCCAAAAGAGAAGAGAGACAAAGAGACTAGAGCAGTCATCATAACAGCCTAGGAGTCTTTAATTATCGGGGGAAAAATCAAGAGGAAACTGGGAAATTATCTGCTAAGGTACAACAGTTTCTCTTCGCATAAATATAAGACAGTAAATCTCGGAATATTTAGTAGCGGGAATCATTTTCGATGTCCTCGGCGAACACCCAAAGGAAGCTAAAACAGTCTATGCAGATACGGCAACTAATTAACGCGAAAAAATATGGTGCTACGCAGCATCGCAACGCTAGTTACTGATGTCCTATATTGGTATTTAGTGCGCAGCAAGCTTCAAACTGGTATGGACTGGGATTATACTCCACACTCGTTCCGGTGAGACAGGGATAATTTGCCGACGATGGGATATATAAAGCGGCCCTATCTCCCTTGTGCTAAGAAGCCATCAACTCATTAAAAAGCTGGCAATCCCTTGCAGCTTCTTATTTTACGCAGACTCTTATCTGCGAAGATCGGTAGGTGGTCACTATTTCTTGTGGATGCCCATCTCTGACTGAGTGTGGACTGACATATTTAAGACAGTTTCGAAAGACATCTACATGGATTTGCTTTATTTGGCCTGCATTCTTATCCTCGATCTCATTGCCATCTACTACCGATATACCGAAGGAACATGGTCAAATTCAGCCCTATCCTGTGTGGCGTTCTCGCATGCGGTCTTGTTGATCCATGTCTTGCTGGAGACAATGCGACAGCATCTGTGATTACCACCCCGATCTTCCAAGAATGGGACAACGGATCATCCAACATGACTGTCACTCTGGGTGTCATCAACGCCGACTACGCATGGCAATATGCCAATACCACGTCCAATCTCAGCAAGCGCACGGGTATTTCCACGGTCGTGACAGTGGTCAAGCACGGAGTAAAGACCATTGCCACGGTAAAAGCAGCGATTGAAATCTGGGAGTTCGTTGCTGGTGTCATTAAGTCGAAGTCGGAGGCAGATTCGTGCACGTTGACATATGGTACGGATATTACTGGTGATTATTACTATGGTTATGCGTACAAGGCCACAACTACTGGAGAGAATTGTGACACCACGGCGGAACGCAAGACAATATTGAGTGCTGTTGAAAATTGTGCTACTACCCTGCATTCTAAAGGTGCTGCCGTTGGCTGTTGCACTTTTCACCACGGGGGTACTTGGCATGGCCATCTGCAGCTGAGTGCTGAGCCGGTGACCTACCCTGTGCATACAGTCACTTGTTAATAACGAAATTTTCCCTCCGAATAGCTCATTTATTAACAAAGACGAAGCAGGTATTTCGATGCTTTGTTATTCTAAATAAATAAAGAAAAGTCATTGCCGAGTAGGTGCAGATCAAAAGGCCTCATTGCATACATTTCAGCTCATTTGACTAGCTACTGTATAAAAGAATGATTGTATCAGACAAGAATTCCAAAAAAATGTAGACTAAAGATGGAAAAAACATACATGCCAGTTCTGACACGCCTTATCGATGACATAGAAAGTGAAGAGTCCGAGAAAAAGCAGTTGATAGAGCGATTTCAGAGAATTGTCGGTGCTATCGTTCTTCTCGCCGCTCCGCTTCCCATCCAGTCGCTTTCAAGACTTCTGATTGTCGAGACACAGCTGCTTCGCACACATCTAGACTCATTTCGATTTGTTCTCAGCGTTCCCATAGCTAACGAGTCGGACAGACCAGTCAGGATTCTCCATCTGTCCTTCCGAGACTTTTTAGTCTCGTCCTCAGATGAAAACTTCCGGGTGCCTGCGAAGACCAAGAACAGTGAGATTGCGAAACTTTGCTTCAATATGATGAAACTTCATTTGAAAAAGAACGTTTGCAGTTTGAAAAGTCCTGCAGCCAAGAGAGCGAATATTGATCCGCAACCTATTCGTTATCTGTTTCCTGCAGAGCTAAGCTATGCCTGCCGCTACTGGGGCACCCATTTTGAGGGTGGGATAATTTCTGAGAGTGAGGCAGCGGAACTTTTGTTGTTTCTGAAAGAGTATTTCTTGTATTGGGTCGAAGCGATGAGTCTGCTGGGGATTGCGATGGAGACAGTGGGGGTAATTAATCGGCTTCAAATGGCTTTCTCAGTGAGTATTTTGGTTCGCATAGATTGATTGCATGCCTGATAGCTTGCTTTTCCAATGTTATCAGTAGTGTCTATTAGATAAATTATGAGGAGACTATGCTAACAATGAATTTACAGGCCCAGAACTCCCTGGAGCTTTCGGCCTTCCTACATGATGCCAGCCGATTCGTTCTCAGAGTTCGCAATGTGATCGACAAAACACCTCTTCAACTCTACTGTTCGGCTTTGATATTTTTTATCCCAGGGGGTAGCTTCGATGCTGAAACTCGAAATCTTTCTCAAGGTATGTTTCCATGTGTCAAGCGACGAACTTGTTTAACAATATCCCTTTAGGTGAGAACAGAGAACTCTCATTTGATTAATAGAGTTCAAGAAGCATATCGCTTTGCTCTTCACTCTAAGACAGGGATCGAAAAGTATCCACTTCAAGTGTATAACTCTGCACTGGTGTTTAGCCCCACCAGTAGTATAACTAAGATCCAATTCGAAAAAGAGGGACCGGTCTGGTTAACTGCAAAATCAGCCATGGAGGAGAATTGGAATGCATGTTTGCAGACCCTCGAGGGTCATAGGGACTCGGTCAGTTCGGTCGTTTTCTCCCATGACTCTAAGCTCCTCGCGTCTGCTTCAGACGATACAACCGTCAAGGTGTGAAATGCCAGCAGCGGGCAATGCCTCCAGACTTTGCTTGCTAAGTCCATCACAATCACCTCCTTCGACGGTTCCACTGGCTGTATTCACCTTGATACTGGTATTGTTCGTTCTTGTTCTACTTTAAATACAACGCCCACGAACATCGGTCCTCCTCAAACCCCGCAATTCGAGAAACTAGGTGTAAGTTCTGATAGAACCTGGATCACTTGGCACTCTGGAAATCTACTTTGGCTACCGCCCGATTACCGGCCATCATCTTCTGCCGTGTAGCTTTTGAGGGTGACACTAGGCTGTAACTCGGGAAGAGTACTCAATTTTAAATTGAATTGTCACGAATTGTCACATCTCTTTCCTTAGCAATGAGGGAACCCAAGGTACATTTCAATCTCATGCAACATTATTATCCATAATTTACTCTCACTATGCTTAGAAAAGATTACATCTCGTGGGCTGGGGCACTGCAAAATAGATGCGACAACGTTGTATTAAGTGCATATATATATCTGTTTCCTATTGTGATAGCCAAGGTAGAATATGTTGGTAAGGTCAAATGCTAATCAGGGTGCCTATTAGTTAATGTCTCTCTGAACACGTAATCAGGGTCGAAAAGCATGTACCAATGGTATGGGTCACGTATGTGTACTTGTCTGGTATTCTCTAGTCTTCACCACAGCAGTTTAACATGTGGTATGCTGACTAATAAAAGTTGATTACATAATCCATTATCCCGACAATATCTACTCGCATGATTTGTGCAGACCCGCTGACCTACTCTAGGTTTCTATGGAATTCCCGGAGCTCTTCGTACCGCTCATATAAACTTACTAGTGCTCTACAATACTATACAACCATCATTTTACAGTGGCCCTCAACTTACTGCAGCCAGCCAAATTAATAATCTGCACTAAGGTCTTGGCAGTGGGGCTAGAAAAGGGTGATTGAGTGTGTATCGGTCAAGCCGATTTTGAGAACAACTGTAAGGTCGGCACTCGCCTCTTAATCTCTAGCACAAAACCTCGAATGCCCATTTGTTTCAAAGCCCATCCCAAGCGAAACTGCACTTCCCGTATTTTCTCCCGAAACCCCTCGCGCATATCTGCACACATGAAACGAAAATTGAATCCCCCTGTTCTCATCTGGAACGCACAGTCACTACCGACATATAACTGAGGCTCAGACAATGACCTGCATGAGCGCCTTCGAATAACTCACTAGGCTGTATATAACACACAGGTACATCACACAAAGACTGGGCTGCAGTCGGGACAGGAAATTGATTCGCTCCAAAGGTCCCGTCCCCCAAGACAGTTTCTTAAAACCATGTGGATGAACTCAGTCGCCAGTGTTGGAAATGCAGGTCGAGTCTCGGCCAAAGCCTGAGCCGCTGGAGCCAAACGCAGTAAGCCGAGCGAGGTGCAGTGGTAGGGGAATCGGATCCGAATAACCGATGAATCCAGGCCAGATGCGATGTAGTCCAAGACGCTCCCAAGGAAGGCACAGGCGAGAAGAACTGTATATCCGAGTTGAATGGAAGGCTGTGTCTCATAAAGATGAATGACCGTTGGAAGAGTGCTCGTCCAAATGACGGCTAACACAGCTCCAAGCTCCAATTCCGGTTTGTGAGACTTTGTGCTGTAATCTTTTCGAAAGTTGGACATGAATTGATTGAGTAAGGTCAATGAGCATAATAACATGATGCTGGCTTAAAAGACGACCACAGAAAACGTAATGAAAGCCCCATTGCCGATCAGAGGAAAGCGAAAAAAGGGGATTTGTGCAAGAAGAACAGAGAAATAAGATAACCCACAAAAGCTGATGAGGGAGAAGATGGCACAATGCCAGGTTTTGGATGAATTACGTTTTTCCATGTTGGGCATATTTTTGCTGCTAGAAAGACGTATGAGATGTTCTTCCCCTTCCATGTCGGACAACACCATTTATAAATGGTAAGCTGAGGAGTGGTGACCCTTGCAGCCCGGTCATTGACAGCGAAAAGAAGCTCATCACCGCAGGCTGCGTAGATTTGGATCGTTTACAAGACTTCTAAGGTCTGTTCTCGAAGTATTGAGTCCAAGTACTGTTTTTCAACAGTTGAGTGAGGAACGGGTCGTCGGTAGCGATTGTATCTGGATGCAATTATCGACTGTGACAGCCCAATATCCAAGAGAGCAAGCGTTTCATCGACAAACGCTGAACGATACGATCATATAGGTTATGGTACCAAGTGGCAATGAAACAGAGCCATCGGAGTGCAACAACAATTCCTGTGAGACTTTATGTGTTACAGAGGTGCTCAGCTGGTATGAGTGCATGATACTGGCGACAGGTTTTCTCCGTATCTGGGGCGAGCATATTGATACTTTGCTCGAGATGTCTGCCATTTTGCTGCTTCTCTTCGAAAGCACTGTATACAGTATTGTTCTGGATACTCGCAGGCCGCAGGTGCTCAAATTTAAGAGTGAATGCATCGATTGCACTCCAATCGAACCGTGAAGGCGTACATTAGTTGGGCGGAGGATTGAATTTCTTCATTTGATTATTCTATGTTGCCATTCCTGTTCTGCAATGATTATAATCTATGGCAATGCATAATATCTCCATGAAAATTAGCTATGAAGGAATAGAGCTCTGACTCGTGCATGGTGCACCAATTTCACATCTTCAAAGGTCACTAATTCTTTCCAAGGGGCTCGTGCCGGCTTTTATACTTGCATCGTTCACATTTCCTTTGAATCACCAATCCGCTCTCTCGCGGGCAGTGAGCTCAAAATGAACCAATTGCCCAATTTTTGGTGTTGTTTCCATACATCCAATGGGGTGAGAACTGAGACAGACCCAATTCCAGCGCGGGCAGACTGTTTGATGAGGCTGTAGGCGGAGTGTTTGAGGAAGTGGCCGAGAGTCGTGTGGACAAAGTGCTACTAGGGCATACGCTACCCTCAGTCAAATCTGTACACGCGCCTCGTGACGCTTCTATCTGACCAGCCTCAGATCTCACACTTCTATCCGGGGTGACAGATACCCATGGAAATATTTTGTCGAGCAGACTTGTCTTGCTTGGTCTGCGCCAGTCTTCGGGCTCATACTGAGATAGAATGGATTGATTGCTTGTCAACGACCGGAGACGATTAAACACAGAGAACTCCAACTTCAGCTTGATGCTGTACCCCACGGTCTTGAAGCTCACTTGAATGTAATGCAGCTTGAACTCGGTAAGAAGAAGCAGGATATTCAACAGCACGACAATGATGTTGATCCAGAGCAGATGGATGATGGCATTCCGCCCATTGCGACCTCGGGTCTGAACCATGGGCTTGAGAATTCGGATTGCTTCGTACATGTAAATGCCGCAGATGATGAAATCCTGCACGCAGAAGCCGGTGACCTGGATGCGATCGTATATCGCGGCGGGACGAGCGAAGCGTGCGTCGCCTTGGTTCAGGCCAAAAAACAGTACGGTCATGGGTATGTGAAGAATGAAAAAGTTCCCGACGATCATCCACAGCACCCACCGCACTTTTTCCATGTGGCGGACAACGAGATCCAGACGGGAATAGAGCACGACCGCCTGACCAGTGACCATGGCGTACCACCCGATGATGAAAGGGATGGACGTAGAAAGGTTAGATGCTTGAGAGACAAACCGAGCCATGGCAGGCAGTGCATGAACAAGAATGCCCCAAGACGCGACTTGCATGCTCCAGAAATAGAGACCGCTGTAGCGCTTGAATGTATCGAAGGTGACAATTGCCGTTTCGAAAGCATTGTATGCGCCGATCGCAAACATGGACACGACCTGAATGATCGAGACATTCTTCATCAGAATGGCCCCGACGTCTGATGGCAGGCTGGTAATGATTGTATCCATGATGACCAAAGACTTGTTCCAAGCGTGAAGAGATTTAAAATTCTGAGGTGGACATGGTGGATAGACGATTTTAAATACTACTGCATAAACATGTGATTTCTTACAATGAGACCATGACATGGTAGCTGGCCGCTCCTTGGGATGACTTTTGGAACTGGTAAGATCTTACTAGATCCATCAAAAGCTGGGTGGGTCGCAGACTCATTGATAACGTAGAAGCTGACGAATTCTAGATGCGATTAGCCTCAATCCATATCCCTTCCAGATCAACTAGACAATGGAAATCTTTCGTGTGTCTGGTAGTCTGGATGCTAGTGAAAAGGTTAGAGAAATGCAGGTTTCTCAGCTTCCATAGATTTAAGAGTGGGACTGTCTGAGAAGTTGGGCGACATTCTCGTTAAACCATGGAAACGCTCGGTCGGGCAGGACAGCCTCAGGCGAGGAGAACGCGATTGTCCATAGGTGGGTGATATTGAAGCTGAGACTGACAACTTCTTTGAGGTAAGATTCTTCGGATTTTTGCTTCTTGACCGGAACAGACATTCGAGAAGAACTGTGGCTATCAAATTCCACATTGCGGGTGGTGTAAAACTGTGGTCTAAAACTAAAAGCTGCAGGCAGAATTTTATCCTACACCAGACTCACCCGCGGGATTGAAACTTGCGAACAGGGAACTGCAAGTATGTCTGGCCCACGAAGCCGACCCTGATGTTTTCGGAAGCCAATAAGTGTCTGGATTGTCCCCGAATTATTCATGTAAGCCCATTTTGTCCTGCCAACATGCACGACCCTGAATCAGCGGTGGTTCTAGACCATAAATAGAAATCAGGCAAAAAGGATGAAGCGTTAAGTGGACGATTAGAGTGTTGGAAGAAGGTTCGATGCAGGGAAAATAGCTTCTAGACCTTTCTCTCGACTGGATCGACAGAACGATCACCCCGGACACAGAAAAGTGGGGAAGATCTTCCCTATGTGGAGTCATCCTTTAAAGAGTGGATCGCGAATCAACTTCAAGGCATCATTTTGGGAGCAACATTTGTAGCGTTGTGCTCTGTGCTCCCAAACCGTGAGTCACATAAGCCGTCTTTATCAACAGAGCAACCTTAGCAGGCATTGATTGTGAAGGCACACTCAGTCGCACATCCGTTAGTCAATCGGATCGTGATTAGTGAATTCAATGTCAATTTAGTGGTCCTTGATTGGTCAATCCCTCGACACGGGTCCCCGAGTCAGTGTTCCTAGTCTCAAGGTCCCACCGATAGTTGTCTCGATCTGATCATGAGTCACGTATTTCCAGGTCATTTTTGATTGGCTTCTTGCGCCGGGGTATGATAGTAGCGTTGCAACCTTTTGCAATGGATGGACCCTGACAAATCCCACGGCGAATAGCGTTCAGAACCAACAATCCCCCGTCACGTTACCATAGTGATTGGCCGACGCTTGCTGTTATTGAGCCATAGAAAAATTGGGATTTGAGCCATGCACTGTACCAAGGAAAGTGGTAATTACGAAAAGAATATGGATTCCAATTTCACCCACGTGGATTTTTATTTGGAATGAGCCATACTCAAAAAACAAGGGGTGCACTAAATGGCTTTTTGATAATCAATAGCCTTCTGCATCTACGCCGCAGCAAGTCGTCATTTCATATATATATCAACATATCTCCTTGGGGATCATATTGAGGCCCTAAATTCATGTACGTAACAGGTACTTTCCTGTGGACCCTTATCAGTACATCAACAAATGCATCATGTCCAATTTCATGCGGCATGTGGATGTTTTGCAGTATTTTCTATCACGCTTACAGATTCTGGGTTGTCGGTGTAAACGCACATTCAAGACCCCGGGCTCAGAAAACTGGTACCAATAGGGTTGCTTGGCAGGGACGCATATATCTTGCTTCGTTTCAGATCCTCTCACAATGGACTCGTCTATATTTAAAGGTACGACCTTCCAATCTTTGGCAAGAAAAAATCTTCTGCTTTCCATCCTTCAACCAATACTCGCTTGTCAAAAAATAGCATGGCAAAGGAATCAAGCTCCACCGCAAAGAAGCCAAACATCCGAAGCAGGTCAAGAGTGACGCGTGCGAGATCCCGCATCAATTCTCCCAACCCTGCTTCGTCGGGGGTCTCTGAGTCTCATGCAGACTGCTCTTCTCTGCGTCCAGACACGAAGCCACCCAAAGTCCTAGTATGTTAATTGTGGTCGTTTTCGATTTCTCGATTCTGGAATCACCCTTCACGATGCTCAATACTGCTGATACCATGCGCTTTCGGCTGATCATATTGTTTAGGGACATCTTGTGTCAAAGAGTGACCGAAAGAAGGAGTCTAAGGCTATCCATGCTAAGTGCTTTGATGAGATGGACAAGATTGGTCGGGAGCTTCAATTAGCCCTTGCGGAGAAAAACGACCAAAAGGCCTACGAGTCCCAGTTGTTGCAGAAAACACAAGCCACCAAGGCGGAAGAGGGTTTGAAATTGAAGCAAGCTATTGCGCTTAAAGAAACCGCTCTGGCTGAGAACAAAAAATTTCAGAACGAAGTTCGTCAACTCCAGCAGCAGGTGGAATTGTTGAACGCTTCGACACAGGATAATGTCCCGTGGAATGACGTTCAGCCGATATTGCATCAAACACATGGCGAGCTAGTGTCCGCGACCACGCGATACTGGAACGCGATCGACGCTCTCCAGAACCGCAGACTAGCATATCTACCCGGCTCTGGAGTGATCCACGGTAATTGGGCGGAGCAGTACGGCCCGCTGGGATCTTTGGGACACGATCCACTTCCCGGGTTTACCGAATCGGGCAATCAGCGAGAGCCTGGGGCAAACAATGTGTTTGATTCCCTTATGTGATGCGTCATGATCCTTAAGTAGCTGTGGGTCCAATCCAGAATAGTGGAGCCGTGTTTTGATGTCATATATTTTGACGCAGACAAGTACCCTATGGTCGCATCATCGTCGTCGGCCTACAGCTTAAATACGATCAATTTTATCTTGCTGACGAATTCATACCTTGTTTTGAATGGAGAACTTTCCGAAATGTAAATATGTAGATGAGTTTTTAAAGCATTACTGTTCACCACCAAGCGGGGCCCGTCACGTCCGCCCGGTGGATCGTGATCGCCGTCCTCTCCTAACTTTATGCGCAAGATGATCTTCCGCTGCTCGGATATTTTATCCAATCACGGTAAGCCTTGGCAACTGGCACGCTAGATGGTCTACCACTCAGCCAATTTTAGTAAAGTCAAATCAAAGGATTGCCACGGGTCAAATGATTTGGAATTATCTACGCAAAGCACTGAATGTAACATCAAAGATTTTTTTTCTCAATGATCTCGACGATTATTTGCCAGGGCGGCCGCGCAGGGTTCCAGATCTTGCTTTCGAGTGGGCAATTTTAGTAAGTGGGTCGAATTGCACTGAAACACCGGCACGATAAAGCTTAATTGGCACGTGGCAAATAGTCCGTGCGCGTATCAGCCAAAGCAATCATGATTTAGACCGGTGGCGGTATTCTAATTCATACATGTCGGACCACTAAAACTTAGTGATTTGAATTTAAAATCTACTCAGGTTGGTGATGCAGCTGGATGCTGTGGCACGTAGGTGGAAACAAGTGGTAATGTGAATCACGTAGCATTACTTTGGAAACAAAAAGCCCATCACGTCAAAGTCCGAAACCTCATTGGCGACAACGTATTCACCCAGTCAATTATCCTCCTCTGTGGTGCTCTGGTTTTCCGAAGCTATCGTCTCTATGGCTGCCTCCACGGCTACCAATCGTTGAACAATATCGTCCAGATCACTGCGAATGGTTCCAGTCTTATCTGCAAGAGTGCTCAGCGAGCTCTGGATTGACCTAGAATGGTATCAGCGGTGTCGCCTTTTAGAAGTACTTCCGACTTACTTCACTCGGGTGTCTAGTCTGATAGATGTAAGGTTAGCAGCGAGGTTGGAATTGATTTCACAGCAGAGTCAGACACTTACTCGGAGATACACTGGAAAGCAATCATGACACGATTGTCCGGGGTTGGAGATTCTCCTCCAAAAATCTGCTCTCTCTCGACATCCTCTCTCTGGATCCAGTCTTCGGTGGCATCTTGCGGGATGCTACGCACCAGGGTCGTCTCACGTTGGAGACTGGGGAAGTTGTTCTCCTCACAAGATTCAATCTCGGTAGTGTCACCCTCTGCCGATGATGAAGAATCTTGTGAACTGTCCGAATCAGAAGGTGACAGTGATAAAGCGCGCTCTAACCGACGTCGAAAGTCTTCGTGTTTGGCGGGCCGGGAAGCCTTTCTAATTCCAACCATGCTTGTGATAGAGAAGTTTTAGAACGGCGGATTTACCCAAGGCAAAAGTCGGGCGGCTTTTATAAGGTTTGTCCGGAAGGTCTGAGTAAGCAATTGATGTCTGTCGCAACAACGAAGACTCTCTCAGATGTTGAGCTCCATCGAAATATGTAGAGCCACATTGTTTAGGAATTTGCGAGTGTGAGCTTTTCACGGCTCTAGACAAGGTCAAAGCTGAACAAGGGTAGTTATCATGTAAGATTTCAACAGGCAAGATGAACAGGCAAGATGAACAGGCAAGATGAACAGGCAAGATGAACAGGCAAGATGAACAGGCAAGATGAACAGGCAAGATGAACAGGCAAGAAGAACAGGCAAGATGAACAGGCAAGATGAACAGGCAAGATGAACAGGCAAGATGAACAGGCAAGATGAACAGGCAAGATGAACAGGCAAGATGAACAGGCAAGATGAACAGGCAAGATGAACAGGCAAGATAAACAGGCAAGATAAACAGGCAAGATGAACAGGCGAGATCAGCAGGCGAGATCAACAGGCAAGATGAACAGGCGAGATCAGCAGGCGAGATCAACAGGCGAGATCAACAAGCAACTTCAACAAGCAACTTCAACAAGCAAGCTCAACAAGCAAGCTCAACAAGCAAGCTCAAGAGGCGAGATCACCATCTAGAATTTCAACAGGCAACTTCAACAAGTAGCTTCAACAGGTAGCTTCACCAGGCAGGATCAACAGGCAGGGTCAACAGGGAAACTCAACATGCAAAAACATGCAAGATGAACATACGAACATTGCTCTAACCACATTAATAAACTTCATCCAGATTGTGCAATTTGAGCAATACTCAATATTTGATGATCGTTGTTGCTCAGGAGCGACGCTTAATTCAAAAACAAAAAGAAGTAAAAGAAAAAAGAAAACAAAAAAGAAAAAAGAAACAAAAGACAAAAGACCTCAGATCAGAAACTGGTGAAATTCTGCAATACAAAGCGCTTCTCAGGTGCAGAATCCTCAATATGGCTCATCAAACCAATCCATGGAACAGACTCTGACTCAAAAAAGTTTGACCAACTTCGCCAGTGAATGATACTCTTGACTAAGTCTAGCGAGTATTTAAAACTCAGCTTACTCCCCTCAACAAAAACTCACGACCGTCCCGTGAGCATCATTTTTTAAATTTCACAATGTCCCCACGTGGAATTCTGAGCTGGTCAGTGCAAGAAGAAGAGAACCTCCTGCGATGGTTAGATGAAAATCGTTCATTGCCGTGGAAAGATCTTCCGGACGCATATAGCAGTAGTAGTAGTAGTAGTTTTCATTTACACCGACCTCTCGCCGAAGCGATATGCAGTATACGACGACTATATATCCGAGTATGTACAAATAGATCGATCCACTTCCTGACATGAACTTAGAGCCTCGTCACGGCCTATCGTGGCCTATTGCCGCTCCCGTCGTTAGGCTGCCCTTATGGCGCACGACTGCGAAATCGCTGTGACGCCTCAGCGAAGTCCAGCACAGCTTGCACTGTTTTGGCTCGCGAGACGATGTCTGGCTTACCTCTCTCACCTTCATTTGAGCCTCCCAGCAGACTCGACACGCTGTGAAACGCGTCCCCGGCATTTCTTCTCAATTCCACCCGCAGTTCTCGTAGATTGGGACATTCCAATAGTACATGGCTGACTGTCTCCCGCGCTCCGCACTCGCATTGATCATCGTCGCGGAAGCCGAACCTCTTCGCATAAGTGGATAACCAGTTGTGGCCCGTGCGTAGTTGAGTGAGCAAATATGCTCGGTTCCTGGGCAAACTCCCGTACAGTTTTCTGGTGTATCTCGCCGGTAGGGTGTGGTCAATCTTCCGTAGGTGAGCGCCTTTGGCGCTTGACCTCCACTCTTGTTTCCACTGAGCATGGATCTTTTCGCGGATAAATGCGTTCTCCCTCGTCAGCAGCGGCCGGAAGGGATGGCTTTTACCCGGCTGCGCGGCTTCCTTGGCGAGTCGGTCCGCAGCGTCGTTCCCTGGGTTTTCACAATGCCCTGGCATCCATTGGAGGCGGAGCGTGACATTCTCTCCCTGGACCTCAGCGGCTGCCTGGAGGATAGCATGAGCAATTCGCTGCCCCGATCTATTTCTCGCGTTTTGGATTGCTTGCAAAGCCGATCGGCTATCGCAAAGAATGGTTGCTGTTGTGTGCGCGCTGTTTCTGACGAATGAACGTTGGTGGGCCAGCTTGAGCACCATATCGACCGCGTAGAAGATGCCGATGAGCTCTGCTACGTGGACCGACCAACGTTCCATCGGTCCTACCTGGACCTGTTGAGATTCGATCACCTCTTCATGGTCGTTGAGCGCGACTATGGCAGTTCCCAGATGACCCTCACGCCCGGAGGCGTCCGAATAGACGACGATGTCTGATGTGTCCCTTGCGGACTCTGCCCTTTCTCTCGCTGTTTCTCGGTCGGGTTCAAGCTCAATCTCCGTGAAGGCGTCCTTTCGCCACGGCGGCAGCGGGCGTGGGTCAATCGTCTCTAGTTCGCTGAGCCTGTCGACGTCCATGGTTTTCAGCGCTTCCGCCAGTGGGAAGCGCGCGTACGATCCTATATTGTTTCTACGATTCTGGGCGCGTGATAATGCGCTCCAAATGGGGTGGTCACGCGGTAGAGTATGTAGTCTCGCGATGGTGCGCTGCGCGCGGTGGCGGAGACGAAGATGCGTAGGAAGTATATGAGCTTCCACCTCTAACGTTGTGGTGGCTACTGTCCGGAATGCTGATAGAATCCGGATCAACGCAGTTCTTTGTACTGTGTTCAAGTGTCGCAGGTGAGTTTTATCCCGGAGCGGGTCATGCCAGACTGTCGATGCATAGTCTACGACGGGCGTAACACATGCCTGGTAGAGCTGTCGCATTTGTTCTGGGCGCAAGTGTCGTAGTCCACTTAGAGCGATAGTTGTCTTGGTGGCGCGTTTGATGGCCTGCTGAACGTGTTCCTTCCACCGAAGTCCTTGGTCGAACACCACCCCTAACAGTTTGGCTGTAGGCGATGGCGTGACGTCGGCTCCATCGAAGGTGATCTTACCTTCGTGCTCTCCCCTCTTTCTGGTAAGGTGGATGAGCTCGGTTTTCTCCGCCGCGAAGCAGGATCCGCTTCGTCGCGCCCACTCTTCAATGCGAGGGACATCCTCGGACTGTATCTTGGCTAAGTTTTCCTCGGCCGAGTGGCCCACTCGCCATCGGAAGTAGTCGTCAATAAATGCTGACGCGCCCCCGTGGGAGTCGACGGGCTGATCGACGAGATCGGCGTTGAAGAATGCAAACGAGATGGGCGAGAGTGGTGAGCCTTGCGCTAGACCTGCGTTCACTAGCAGCTCTGTCTTGGTACGGAAATCGTCGAATCCAATGTTGGCGTGCCGGTCACTCATGAAGCTCGCGATCCATTTTCTTGCCACCACCGGGATCCCTCTCGCCTGTAAAGAGGCATCCAGGCTCACCCTATTTACCCCGTTGAAGGCGCCCTTGAGGTTGAATGCGATTAAAGTCACCACCTTGTGTTTGTACCATGCTTGGTCGATCGCATTGGACAGCACCAGCAATGCTTGCTCGGTGGTTCGGCCCGGGCGTCCCCCGAACTGGCTGTCCGGTAGCAAGCCATGCTTCTCTGCAAGATAAGATAACCGTCGGGCCATCACGGCCTCGATGAGCTTCCCGAGCGTGTTCAAAAGTGAGATTGGGCGGTAAGCGCCAGGCATCGCATAATCTGGCTTGCCCGGTTTCCGTAAAACAATGATTTTCGCGCTCCGCCATGGTTTTGGGTGGTGTCCTAAGTCTATACACGCTCTGAAGATGCTAATGATGAAGGGCTTCAAATATACCCATAGTTTCTTCCAGACCAGCATCGGTAGATTATCTTCCCCTGGCGCAGTGGTCCCTTTCGCTGTTTTCAGTGATCGCTCAATCTCCAGTTCGGTGATCGGGTGCCACGGAAGTTCTGGTTGTGGCGACACTGGTAGGCTGGGTTCGGGTGTGTTCATTGCGGGAAAGAACGCTTTAAGAAAGGCCCTTGCTTTCTCTTCGTTCTGGGTGAGCTCTTGTGAGCCCACCTTCAGGGCCGGGGTGCACCCCCACGTTTCTCGAGGCTTTATGTAGGTCGCAGCTTTCCAGAGCTTCCCTTCACCCGCCTCGTCCAAGAACTGTCTCCAATGCGATGCTTTGGCCTTCTCTATGGTCCGGGTCCATGCTCGGCGCTTCTGTTGCATAAGCTGAAAGGCTGTAATAGTGCTAGCGTGGCCTCGTCCAAGCTCCGCACAGCTCGCCTGCCATCTTCGGCGCAGTTGATTGACTTCGACTTGTTGGACCTTGAGATCTGGTGTGAACCACCGTTTGGAGTATGGTGTTGGGCGAGTGTCGGGCGTGAACTGGTCGACTGCCTGGGCTGTCACTGCTGTGAGCTTCTCCACAACCCGGTCGAGTGTTGGCCGGGTCTTGATATCCTTCCAGGGGCTCATCTTCCGAACTACCTCCTCGCCGATTCTGGCCCAGTCCGCGCGCTCATACGCTTTTCTCACTTTGTCGTTTGGCTTGCTCTGTGGTTGAATATTCCACTCCGAATACGTGGCACGGTGGTCGGATCCGTAGTTCTCGTGATACAGATGGCACTTGACAAGCCGTTCTGGTTGGTCTGTCACGGTTAGATCGATGGTCGAGTTTTGGCCTGGGTTGTTCAAGGCCCAGTAAGTCGCTGTACCTCGGGGGAGGCAGCTGTGGAGGTTATGGCTTTGGAGAAACTCGATTAGGTCCCTGGCATGCTCGATGAATCTGGGTGGGATGTGGTTGCCGCCCCATAGTGGGTGATGTCGGTTGAAGTCCCCGGATAGAATGATGTTTGTCGGCCGCTGCTCATTTTGCAGCGCGGCCGTGATGGTGTTTTGTATTGCTGTCAGGGCTGGTAGTGCTGACTCGTCGTCGCCCATGAAAAGCGGTGCTGGAGGTATGTAGACCGAAAAGAGAAGGATTTGGGAGTCGGCTGACCAGATCTTGATGGCTGAGACATCTGGGTGGTCGCAAGGTATCTGGCGGTGTGAGGAGGTAGAGATTCGTCTATTTACGTAAACTAGGCTGCGGAAGCGAACTGCGTCGGTCTGCGTGGTAGGTCGATAAAGTCGCCAGGCGCTGTGGTTGACATGCGTGCGATATGTGGTAATGGATGGCTCCTGGATCAAAAGTACATCCAGATCATGGCTCTGAGGATCGTTAATCAGTGCCTCCATTCTCGGTCCCGATTTCATTATGTTCAACTGTAGGATGCGAAGGTTTCTCTTTAGCATCTAGCGGGATTAAACGCCGCTGGAGCCGAGCACTGTCGATCACCAGTAGGGTGTTCACCACTACAGTCGAGGCATCGGGCCCTTACTCCGGGTGGGCAGCGCTCCCGCTCGTGCTGGCCCGCACAGTGTCCGCATCGTGGCGTTTCCTTGCACGTCCATGCTAGATGGCCAAACCGTTGGCATCGGAAGCATCTCTTCTTCTTAATCTCGCGTCGCTCAACATGGTGAATATAGTTCCCGCTGACAAGGAACCCTTGCCGAAGCATACGTTCCGCTCCCTCTGCGGAGTCGAACCAAATTCCCAGAGATGCGAATTTCCCTAGGGTCTTGTCTTTTGATTTCATCCAAGCCAGCTCTTCGATGCGAAAGCCGTGTTCAGCTAGGTCGTTGTCTTCGATAATTTTCTCTGCTGCCTGAGTGGCCCCGGTTTCCAGGTCAAATTCCTCGGTGGGGGTTCGGTGTACGACGACACCAAATCGTGGTTTTACCAGCTTGGTGTGGTTGCCCAAGTTATGTAGCCACTTAGTGTTGTTGCGGGCCGCCTCAGTCGACTCCGTGTTCTTGAATCGAATGATATAGCCGGTTTTGGTAGTGCCGATTCCCGCCACTTGGACGTCCTGCGTTGCGGCTTCGCTCTGCAATGCGGTGCGAATGTGGTTGTTGGCGGCATCGATGGGGAGGTATCGCCCGAAGGCGTTTCCATCATCGTCAGTACTGTCTCTTGGGTCCACGAAGGTCCTCTGAGTGCTGATTCGAACGCAATTTTGCTCCTTCTCGGG